TTTCTGTTGTTTCACCTAGAAGTAAACCTTCTTTATTGTTGAGTATTCTTTCTAGTTTCTCTGGATTTCTTAATTTTTGGTAGAAATTCTTTACCTATTTATTGATGTAGGCTTCTTCTATGTTTTTCAATTGGTTTTCTAGTTATTCTCTTTTCTTTTTTTGCAAATTATTTTCACTTCCCTTCTTCTTGCCACATCGTTTTCGATCGCATTTTGGGTATTTTCTTTATCTCTTTGTAGTTTTGCCCTGTTTCTTCTTGTCAAAACATTCCTATATTCTACATCAAACCAGTCTTAATGCGTTTTCAAATGCTTTCTTCCTATACACTTTTCTGCTGCTTCTGACATGGTCTGTCTCTCTCTGTTTTTTAAATTGAGTTTCAAATAAATTCGTTCTGAATAAGTGTTTTGGTAATTTTTAACTTATTCATCGGGTTGTTAAGACTTGGCCTTATAACGCTGTCATAAGCCGCTTTAAAATTGACAAAAGGATGGTATATTTCTATAATATGTGATGGATTCGGCCGTTACTTGATGGAAGTTTATTTAATCAAGCAATAAAATAGTGAAAACTTTTGTTTTCAACACTTTGACAAATTTTATTATAATTTATTATCACTATCTTTGTTAAGTGAATTATTTTTGTTATGCGTCTTTCTAGTATTTAACTAAATAAATTGAGAAGGGGAGAACTGTTTGTTGTTGTTTTTGTTGTTTGTTTGTGTTTAAATGACTGCGGACACTAAATCCATTCGCCAATCTTACAATTTGAGGTGTAGTGTGTGTGTGTGTGTGTAGAGTAATTGTCTTGATACTTAGCAAAGTCGACGTCATTGTCTTTGCTAAGAGACGCTAATTGTATCCGAACGTCTGCGGTCCCTCCGGTGTGTACCGATCACACAAGGATAGAAATTATTTTCATCTATTAATTTTTTTTAATAAACGAAAATTTCCACCCAGGTGGGATTCGAACTCACGACCTTTAGATTTAAAGGCAGGCGCTCTTACCACTGAGCCACAGAGGGGGTTAAAACTGTTTGTTTTAAGTGTGTCATTCAGAATTGTATCTGTATTTTTAATTTGTTTATTTCCATATATTCTAATAATGATCCGTACCTTATTGGCGGCTGCTTTAAAAAGATCTAATGAGCTGCAACTATACCACTCTCTTAAGTTTCTCAGCCAAGAAATTTTTCGTCCTCCTATGGAACTTTTACCCTTGATTTTACCTTGCATTATAAGCCTTAATATCTTATATTTCGTACCTCTGGTAATGTGGCCTAAATATTCCAGCTTTCTTGTTTTGATGTACTTTATGACCTCTTAATCCTTCTGTAGCCTTCTTAACAATTCTGAATTTGTAACTTGTTGGGTCCATGGTATTTTCAAAATCCTTCTATAGCATCACATCTCAAATAATTCCAACTTCTTTATATTGTCCACTTTTAGTATCCAGCTGTCTATTCCATACAACAAAGTCGAGAACACGTAGCATTTTAAGGCTCTTATCTTTAGATCCAGGGGAAGGTCTCGATTGACAAACATTGTTTTATTTTTATAAATGGTTTTCTTGCAATTTAATGCGTGTCCTTATTTCTTTACCTTGGTCATTATTTTCATTTACCCAGGTTCCCAGATATTTGTAGTTATTCACTCTTTCTACTTGTTTTCCCTCGATATCTAGGGCCTTTAAGGCTCTTAATGCCTTTATTTAAATGTAAAGAATTAAAAATTGGTTATTAAAATAATGATTGTGATCTAGAAGGTAAAGAGCATAAGAAGAATTTGTCTTTCTATTACTGAAAATCCTTTTTTGTGTTATGCTATCTGTTTGTTAAAGGTTCTACCCATTTGACTGATGTAAATTTTTATGCAGTCACCATATGTAAGTTAGTATACACCACTGTGTAAGTGCTTATTTTGACTCTTGTTGTTCTTAATATATTCCAAAATATTTAACCGAGTAATTTGTTTAAATAATTTAATAAATATTTATGTTGCAAAATTGTACCTACCAAAATGGTATTGCTTGATGCATAGTAATAAGAATTATGCTGATTCACCGTATTATTTTTGTGAAATGTAGCCTCATCTCCAAAAAGCACACAATCGAAAAAAATCAGTCTCTTTGCACTTGCTGACCATTGACAAAAAGCTAATTTCCGTTGATAATCATCAACTGTCAATTCTTGATATGCGTAACTATATGCGTAAGGATGCAGTTTATGTTTACGAGGGATTTTTGGCACTGAATTTTGACTAATGTAATGTTAATGTGAAATTTCATGAATGCGGATGAGCGGATCTTCTGTGGTAGCTATCAGGACATCATATTCCTATTCTTCACTATAAACAGTTTTGGTTCTCTCATTGTTTTTTCATACACAACTGACCCAGTGCAAACAAAATGATCAAAATTAATTTTTCAAAAACTCTTGCATTTGGCTTCCTCCGTTTAGGATATTTCTCGTGATATATTCTGGATGTAGGTAAGTAAGCAATTTCTCGAATTTTCTTCTAACACCCAGATCATATATATCAACTCTTCTACAGAAAAATTCATTTTTAACAATAAAGATAATCCACACAGACCTATTAAAAAGGTAATAATATGAAAACTGTCATTTTCAAAGCCTAAAGTTTACGTTTTATTACTATGAAAACTGTCATTTTTTCAAAGCCTACTATTTTACCTTTGTAACTAATACAAAGGGCCTTTTACTTATTATTAACTGCTTGCCAGAATCGGCAGTTAGAAATGTCTTATTAAAAATTCCTGGCTTAGAATATTGGTAATATAACAATTTAAAAATTGTTTCATCAGGTGTATATTGTTTTGCTTTCTGTTTTGTGTAAGTTATTTATTGAATAAAAATAATCTTGTTATACTATTATACAAAATATACCTTGTAGGAATTTTAGGAATCTTGTATTTCATTAAGGAAATATGCAATTTCCATAATATCACATTTATTCATACATTATAAAATAATTTTGTTGTATTAACACTCAATACTCAATACTTATTTCTACTTGACTGTATTTCTGAAATTTAAAGAAAACTAAAATATTTTGGAAATAATGAGTTTAGGTATAGGTAGTGTCATATAAAAATAAAAGAATATCGTAAATACAATATTTAAAAAAAAAATATATATAGAATGATCTATTTAAAAAATTGAGAAAATTGTAATTGTGTTTTGTTGTTCACCCTGTATAACAAATTTTTGTCAAGGATTGCAATTAAACTTAATTTAAAAACTACGATATATTGTTTATTTTATTATATAAAATAAATAATTGTTTATGAATTACTTCTTTATATACATGGTGTATAATGTAAAACCCAGTAGTTTAAAAAAAAACAGTGTTCTCTTTAAAAAAAAAATGTATGTTTGCTATACTGCTGTCCTAACATAAAAGGTCCTATCTGCAAAATTTGGTAAAATGACATTATTGGCTCACGGCATGTGTAAACATATTACCTATGTATCTTCTGGGATGACATCTGGTGTCCATATGCGATCGATTAGTTTATAGATACGCCTCCATAGCGCATGTCCACCATTTTTTATCAGTTCTGCAATTATTCCATCTGTGCCAGGTGCTTTGTTATTTTTAAGATGTCTTATGACGGTTATAGTTTTTTCCAATGTTGGTTGCTCAACTAGTTGTTCTACTGTATGCTTAATTATTTCTTCATCTTCATTTTGTTCTGTTTCTGGGTTTAATAGCTCTTGAAAATGCTTCTTCCACTTTTTCATTATTTCCTCTTTCTCTCTGATAATTGCCCCATTTTTGTCCTTGCAAACTGATGATTTTGTCATGCATCCTTAGGTGTCTTGCTTGGTTTCCTTGTAAAATTTTCTAGTCTCTCTTCTGTTATTATAATCTGTATTTTGTTGTATTCGTAACTGATCGACACCAGTTAGGACAACTTTACGTAGTAAGACACAAGCATGTTTGTAACATACCTTCAAATAATTATTATAAAAGATATATGTTATTGTCAGACTTTGGGTGTATTCTCATGATTTTTGTGTTTTAAGCAAATATATATTGTGAGAAATAGATGGAGGGTAAGTTTAATAATGTTACCTTAGGTATAAGAAATAACTGATGCGTCTAAGTTATTTGATCGTAGCAATACAGCGTCACTTAGCCGGAACAGCGATATATGTAAACCTATGGCATTTAGCTAAAAATGAGAATGATCCAGATTATGCACCTGGGTTGTCCAATGAATTTGTTAATAATATAAATGGAAATGAGTTGGATTCTAGTTACGAATCTAACTATTATCATTTATATTACATATATTACGATGTAAATTGTGTATTATTTATTAAAACTTATAATAAAATTAAAAGTGTTCAAGTAATTAGAATTTAAGTTTTAATTAGGACAATTACAATAAGTAATACAAAAGAAACGCACTTCATATACACTAAGCTAAATTGTCCTAAGTGACAATATAATCAAAAATCGACTAATCTGGAAAGACTGAATCAAAATTATGTCTAGAAATTAAATTCTATTCCAACATAATTTATAAAACAAAACATAAAGAGTTTATTAAATTACCAAGCATTATACAATGAAAAAAAAAAACCGGATTTTCTCAAATTCTAGTTTTTGCAGATAAGAACTTACATGTTAGGACGGCCGTATAACACGTAATTATTAATCAACTTGTATAATTTCACAAATTTTGTAAGTATGGAGAATATCATTGCCATCATCAAAGCAAGTGGAACCTCTGCGCTCGAATCACTGAAAGCGAGAAGATATTGAAATCATAAGTTGGACTTTTTGGTTAGAATCGGAATCAGCTCAAACAGCTGCCGAAATACAGATACTGAAATAACTGTTATCTGTTATATTTAGACGTAAAAAGTTTGACTCCACACAGTACCAATCAACTAAGTTAGCTATTACCAATATGATTTTTGTGAAAATAAATATACAGATAATGAGGAAAATACAGTAAAACATTATATATGCAGCATATTTTTATTCAAATATTTTTACATGAAAATTTTATATATATTTTTTATTTATTAAAGTTAGTTTGTTATAATTGTTTAAAATGTTTTAATTGAAATTGCTTCCACAAAAAGTATAAATATTTTATAAAGAGATATTTTCTGTAGCCATTAAATGTTAATCTTTTCGTTTATCCATGTTACAAAGTCTGATACTTTGGTATAAACTCCAGATGAATCGGGCTTTCCACACTGGTCTCCCCAGGATACGATACCAATTAATGTACCGTTTAACTCCAGTGGTCCTCCCGAATCACCCTATAACAATTAAAAATACTTTGTAGTAGTTGTAGTACATTATTATTGTTATTACTCTAATAATGTACTACTAGTCGTTAAGGAAAAAGAAAATCTTTATACAAGTTTAAAATAAAATGAACAGCAAAAACGTATCTAAAACAAAATTATTTACTATCTGTCCTGGGAACTAACCAAGATTTTAGTTAAAGATACTTTATTTAGACATCTCGAATTTCAAACCTGAATGCCAATCTCACAGTTCTAAAAGTAGCTAATTGTTAATTAAAAACTCTACAAGACAAATCGAAAATACATTTATTAAGTTAATTTAAAACAATAACTGAAGTTCATTCTGTTGGGGGTATTACGGAAAATAGATACTCGGTATATTTTTGATTAAGTTACTAAAATCACAAGACAACATTCCATAAGAAGATAGTTCTATCAAAACAATAATATAAGAATTAGTATTTATAAAGCCGTATATTATATTGACAGAAGCAATTGAAAGGAAAGTCATAATTACTTAGTACATCAACATCTAATAATTATTATTTCTTCTAGACACATAATTTAAACAACCGTAAAGTTCATATATATATATATATATATATATATATATATATATATATATATATATTATATATATATATATATATATATATATATATATATATATATATATCGCAAAAAGGAGTACGACCGTCCATCCAATATAAATAAGGATCACTCAGATGAGTGATGGGTTCAATCGGTCAACTAGGTGGAGAAATAAAAGACAAAGTTGATACTACTTCATCTATTTTGAAGACGTTTCGCTATCGAATTCTGATAGCATCATCAGTTCATTTAAAAATTTATTTACATTAGAGTACCACACATTCATGAAGAAGATGTTAAATAGTTACCTTAAAAAAGATATGTAGTTGTCAATGGTATTATAAAGTCAGTACAAAAACTCAAATAAATGGACATCGTATGGTGATATTGTATAAACAATTAAATAACTAACAACATTAAGAGACTTAGTAAAAATTAGCAAAGCAACAGAACACGTGGTGTAATAAGCATATAATATTTAATATAATATTAACTAGTGAAGCAGAACTAAGAAAATCATTGATTCACTTCCAACTAAGCAAAAAAATTTTTATTTTAACTTCATCTTAACTTTTGGTAGCATTATTAAAGTTAACTACATTAAGATATAAAAAATATGTATGAAAAAGATATAAAGTTAATTTACCACTGTTTCCTTGGCACCTGTTGCAGTTGAAATGGCGTTAAATTAAAAGGTACCGAGTCAATGACATGAAACAGACAGCTAGCCTTGAGGTCGAAAATTAATCGACAGAACAGCAAGGTTAATAATACCAACCCACTAATTTAAGGGCGGTAAATTTGAAAAAGTTAACATGAGTTTAAATGATAACCCTCCCGTAAGAGACCAAACAATGAAAGAAATTAGCGATAACGCTAATCCCTGCATCAACTAGTCTAGAACAAACAAGTAGGCCAAATTCATTAAACTCCATATTTAAAAGAGTGGTAAACATCAACAGTGTAGTTGGTTATACATCTACAGGTGTTTGACGATAAGCACCTAATTTCCAAAAAGTCCAAGGTCCCACGCTTGGAACTTTAATTTGTAAAATATTCAAAGGTTGAATTGTATGTATTTATGTTAAAGTAAAAAACCAGAGGGTCAAATTGATCAATATATGAAAAACGACCAAATATGCAATGTGAGTTGCATAAGTAAGTTTAAGTTGATTAGTATTTATGTAATAATATATTTTTTATTAAGTTTTCATTATAGTAAGTTAAATTTATTTAATAAAGAAAATGTGTTGAATTATACGACTCTAGAGACACATACATAACGAACTGATTGTAAAGCCTAATTCTGCAATATTAAAGCATGATATATTTGACTCAAGTTACTTATGTCTGTTCTCTTATTTAAAGCATTAGGATGTTTAAGAATGGAACACATTTCTAAGAACTGTCTTTTACTAAGATTGCGCTCAGTGCCAAGAACTTTAACTTCATTGAAATTCACCTTATGTTTGGTGTTAATTGCGTGTTGCGCTAACGCACATGTGTGCTTAGAAAGATTAATGTCACCTCGATGGGAAGTAAGACGTCCTTTTAGTGATCTTCCAGTTTGACCAATATAGCAAGCGTCACACTCAGCACAGGGTAAATAGTATATAGTGTTAACTTGTTCCAAAGTGGACAAGGGTGTTTTAGTTTTAGAAAACAAATTTCTAACAGTCTTAGCATTCTTAACTGCAATTTTAACTGGTATGTTATTATGTTTATATAGTTTAATAAGCTTCTCTGTAACTTGAGGAAAATAAGGCAGAGATGAATAATGGGTGGTAGGATTCTCAAGATCAGTATTAGGCAGAACAATACTATTGACTGAATTATTAGAAATGGTTCTAAGTTGGTCACCATTGGGTATATCATCAAAAGAGGATCCATAACTTTGAGAGTATAGGTATTTATTTATGATGGAGGAAGGATATGAATTTTCAATTAGAATATTTCTCAATAACTTAAGGGATTCCCTTCGATTAATCGGATGTGTCAATTTATGTAATCTGCAACTAAGTGCTTTAATAAGGTTCAATTTATATTTCATAGGATGACAGGAATGGTAATTAAGGAACCTATTGGAGGCCATTGGTTTTCTATACCAACTTGTGGTCAGGGTGTTATCTCCCATTCTGATGACACGCATGTCTAAAAAGGGGATACTATTTGTAACAGTGTCCTCAAGTTCAACAGTGAACAGTAAGTGAGGATCAAATTCATTGAAGAAGGATAAGGTACCCTGAACCTTGTCAGGTGGTAGGGCTAATAATAAATCATCCACATACCGCTTAATAAAAGTGATTGGAAATTCTAAGCGACCTAAACGGTCAGAAACCAAATCATCTAGTACATAGTTAACTAGGATGGGTGAGATTGAGGAACCCATAGGTGTGCCAAATATTTGGAGGTAAAATTTGTCCTCAAAAACTAAGAAGTTAGTGTCAAAGACTAGTTGCAAAAGTTCTGCAAAAATATCCCAAGAAATAGGGCAATTAGGTTTAATAGAGTTCCAATGATTTTTCAAGGATGTGATAATACTGGACAAAGGTAAGTTAGTGAAAAGAGAGACCACATCAAAGCTTACTAAAATGTAACCTTGTGGTAGTTTAAAATTATTTATAAATTCACTAAAATGAAAAGAGTCAACAATATTATAATCATTGCTGTAATTATATGATTTAGATAAGATATCCGTTAGAAATTTAGAAATATTAATATTAGGTGAGTTAATTGATGATACAATAGGTCTCATGCTAAGTGTAGGCTTATGTATTTTGGGCAAACAGTAGAATCGCGGAGCATATCCATCATAATTATGTAAATATTTAGCTAACGGTTGATCTATGATCTTGATATTTTTTAAGTGTGTTATAAATTTGTTAATTCTATTAGTGAATTTTGAACAAGGATTATTGGAAAGTGGTTGATAGTATCTATCATCATCTAACAGTGATTTGCTCAAGCTGACATATTGATCTCTATCCATTAGGACAGTAGCATTACCTTTGTCACTCGTAAGAACGAGAAGATTAGGGTGGGTTTTTAAAAACGATACCGTCTCCCTGTAAATCTTATCTAACTCCGATAAGGGTTGCCTAGGGCGTTTGGTAAAATTCAGCAAGATGTTGTTAGAAGAAGACCTAAGGGATAAAAGGTCGGAGTTGTCAGCATGTGACAAAATATTCTCAACATCTGCTAAGATTCTACTAACCGAGTAGTCTCTGAAAGTAGGTTGAAGGCCAAATTTAGGAACCAAAGATAACAACTTAAGTATATCAGGAGGAACATCTATGTTAGATAAATTTTTTATCCATTTAGGATTAAAAGGAATTTTCTTAAATTCTGGAGTGTCTAAGTTATTAAGTTTATTTCTAAGATTTTTCATGGATTTATTATATATGTAATTAAATTTCTTATGCAATGAAGCCTCAAAAGTGTCCAACAAATTGTCAGGAAGGAGATTGTCCAAAAAAGAAGTAACATTATTAATTTGAGAAGTTATAAATTTGATATCTGTGTGAACCTTAGAAATATGTCTTTTATTTGTCTTTTATTTCTTTGTCCAACTTTGTCCAACTTTTATTTCTCCACCTAGTTGACCGATTGAACCCATCACTCATCTGAGTGATCCTTATATATATATATATATATATATATATATATATATATATATATATATTTATATATATATATATATAAATATATATATATATATATATATATATGTATATATATATATATGTATATATATATATATATATATATATATATATATATATATATATATATATATATATATTAAATCTTGAACTCGATTTTATTATGCCATTGAAATATTAACGTTTGAGCAGGTAACCCTTGCATTGCCTGACATTAATAAATTGACAGAGGTAAAAATTGATATCTGATATCTTATGGTTTACAGTCATTAATATATGTGTTTTCGTGTTTTGGAAAAAGGTAAAGTATTAATAATTAATAAAATATGTTAAACCTTTAAGAGTTTTTTGGTGTTATATTTATTAATCTATTAATTAGATTAAAATATATTTTATTTAGATTTTGTGTATCTTTTTTGTCATTGATTGCGTTAGTGATTCTTTTTATTTCTATTGATTCGTATATCTCACCCTTCTTTTTGTTTTGCTCGCTTTTAAAAATAATTATATTTTCGAACACAAATTTATGCTTTTTCCATTCTCATGTTTTGTGAGCCTAGTGATGTCGTTCTTGTCATATTTGTGAGAACGAATTCTGAGTTGAAGCAGTTGACTGATTTGTCCAATATTCTTTTTCTTCTTTGAGTACCGTGCCCAAGTTTTAGGCGTGGGTAGCTTCCATGACGATTTGCCGATATGGTTCTCGATCTTGCGCGGCATGTAATAATTCATCTGCTGATAAGCCAGTCCATTGAC